CTGCATGCAAACCATGCTTCGAAAATTACTGTAAACAACAATAGCATGTAAGAATAAATATTAACGTAAATTAGTAAATTGACTGAGCATATAAACAACGAGTAAGTCCTCACCATCGCTGTTCAAATTGACGTCATGCTCCTGATGAGCGATTTTCTCTATTTGCATTCGTAGTAAAGCAATTTTGGCTTTACTATCCTAAATCACAATAACTTAACAAAAACTTCAGTACTGTCATCTTAAACTAACGTCAAGCATATTTTTGGAATCTTCGAGGTATCTCTTGCTGGCGGACGTATTTGACGACATAAACTTCTCCAGCCCATCTTTCACTTTCATTTCTTTCTCGAGATCTTTCTGAAGAATAAACATTATCAGAAAGAAAAAACTGCTGTAAATATAGATATTAGGCTAGAAAATTGAACCCATTATCACCTAACTACAGTTCATCGGAAAAGAATGACAGCAATATAGTGAGGATTTTTTGAAAAAATGAAGTGAAGCGTCATCTATTAGCAACCAATTTGAAAATTTTTGTATTTGACTTTTCACACTATACAGTATTATTCATTAACAAGATTTTCACTGGTTGTCTGGAATAAGTATTTTATGGCGCGGATTGACAGACAAAACAAGAGCAACACAGTTTCTACGGCTACCGGTCCGGACATAAAGCTTGTGAGCTACAACAGAAAAATATACTTCAAAAGTTTGAAAGTGTCTTGGAAAAAGAAGTATTGTACCTGAAGTGCCGAGAGTCGTGCATTCTCCAGCACATGGTGACCACCTCCACTAACTTCAACATCATTTGACAAATCGATACTTCTTCCCACAATGGGATCATCTCGGGATTCGTCATCATCTAAAAAACAAGTAATAAGCGTAGCTGGCATATTGTAGCACTCTCACAATGCCATCCTACATAATCGGATAAAGAGCAAAAGGGTAGAACTCAAAACACTACGTGCGGTTTCGGTACCTAATATATCTAAAATAAAAAGAAATATATGAAATGAGAAAACTCAAACTGGACAAAAACGACGGGATACTCATGCTTGACGACGAAAACAGCAATGACCACATCAAGATATATAAATTTACATTGCACATGAAGGGATATTGATGTTCAGGGAACGCCTGCAGGGATTATCTCTGATGTGCAGTCCCTCACATCGCAGATAAGCGGATTATCACTAAACTATAACATTGAATCTCTGCTACTCTTTTATATGTTCCACACCTCTTTGAGCATACATTCTCATTAGCACTGACTGGGAATAACTGTTACCTTTTCACTCATCTTTTAGTTGACAACGAAGTTTACGCGAAGGAACTAAATCATTTGATTTTGCATGCATAAAGTAGCAACTTAAGAAGTTGAATGACACTTTGAGACGCGGTTTCTTTCAATACTTCCAGCTAAGTAGAAGAAAGGACTGTCTAGGCAGCAAATCCCTCCATTATTGAAAATTTGTGGTTACAACCCGAGGGTTCAAAGATACTAACATGCTTTTTTACTACTCCTCTTCACATCAAAACGATGTATCCCCTTTGATATTTTTTATGCCGAAAACTGTTGAGCGAAGGGCGTAGCCCAGTAAAATGAGACTCATCATCGGTGACAAGCTTACGCTCGATCATGTTTGCGCTAATCGCTTCAGTTATGTTGAGTGCCTCATAAATAACGTCGGTTTGCTAGTTGCAAAATCATGTAACCGGCTTATTTAACATTCACAAAGCAATTACTTCACTAAAGCATGCATGAGTGACTTGTGGCAGCCTCTGCAGAAAAAAAAA